TTCAATATAATCAAGTAAGCAATAGACATAAAAAGAAAGTACCATATAGTCCATGAGGCAACCAAATAACCTTCTTGACTCCAAGATATGCCTTAAGTTCATTCTCTATCTGTCCTTTGGTTAACTGTGGGTTCCGGTTTTTATTCAAGAGGCACTCCTCTGTGGTAAGACAAGTCCCTGAGAGACATAAACATTGGATAAGTGCTAACAAGATTAACATGGGCAATTATAGTTAGAAACTAAGACCAATTCCCAAAAGTGTGCCTTAATTGAGTAAAATTGAACTCCAGTCATAGAAAAGCATGCAGGTTTCAACAAATTGTGGTGGGTTAAACAAACAAGAATTGCATATGGTGGATGAAGCAATCATTCAAGCGCCAGGGTGAAGATTATGCTTTCAACTATTAGAGAGGCAACCATTTCAAAAAAAAGGCAAGATGAAGAATTGACTGAGATTTTCACATACAATACAACTTTTACAAGATCAGAGTAGAAAAATACAAAAGATAATGGATGCAGTCCACAAAGTTCATGGTAAACTTCAAGCAAAATTCACTTAAAAGGCCACACATGATAATTTTACATGCAGTCTAATTGGTAATATGATGAATGTCTTATTTTAGAGAACCCAGTTTGACCAAGCTAAAGACAAAGACCTTGCCCAGTGCCCTGGACAGGACGGTTTGCAAGTGCCCAGGGGACTAATTGGGCAAAAGGGCAAAAGGTCCAGATACCCATATTATCCAAAAATAGCTTAGGCAGAATCTTATTAATTTATCAGGATTTTGATGCAATGTCACAAGTTGCCTTGATAGACAGTTGAGTATCAAATCTACTTCTACACATCAGAGCTCTCACAAGAAAAAAAAAAATGAAAACAAGGAGGAAAAAAAAGGAGGTAAAAGACGGGTCCCTAGTATTTCAATGCAGCCAATGAGCCAAAGGAGGAGGATATTTTTTTTCAAAGCAGTAGTTATGGATGAATACATTTTCTAGGAAATGATCATGTAGTCATCTATTGTCTGTGGACTTTATAACCTTTTGGTGGATGTTAAAGCACCATCATGGATGAAAAGTTTGTTATAGATGAACAATTTTAAAAAAAGACGACAAGAGAGGACCATTCATGCAGCAAAAATAAATGCCATATATATGTTAAAAGTTTTGTTAAGTCAGCAGTTTTGGAGTCATTTCTTTGGCTTCTGAGCATCAAGTTTACCTAGATGTTTTCCCAAATTAAAGGACAACTCAAAATGAAAGGTATATTGCCAGTAGCTGTTACCTTCTCCATCTACATGGATGCTTCCACCTTCAAGAATAAGAGTTTGTGGAAATCTAGGAAGCCTCTCAATTTCTAAGATCTAACAGAAAAAGATACATAAAGAATAATTGCCAGTTAAAATTATGACACACTTTACCTGAAAAAATTAAATATGGAAATAGAAAAGCAACAAGACAAGTCTTATGAACACTAACCTTCTTTGCCACAAGAAGATCAAGACTCCAATCTTGGTAACACCCATCATCAACCCCTAGAAAGACCAAGAACAATTCCTTTTAAAGAAGAATCCAGGTATGGAACTAAATCAACACATAAATATTAGTAACGGAATAACACCGCTACAGTGCATCCAAGTAAAAGTTCTTATAAACCAAAAGATAAGTTTAACTATCTCATATTTTGCTTGATCCAGTTCTTCAAAATAATCTTGAGATGAGTTATATACTTCTGCATCATTCCAGAACCTCCAACTGGCTTCTTTGTTCTTTTTTTTTTTTTTTTCTTCTTCTTTTTTATGGAAAAAACTCATTGTGACTTGTTTGAATGATAAGCATGAAAATGAAATTCAACTTATTAATTTCTGCAAGCAGTATTACAAAGGGAACACGGGGGTGCAACCATCTGTTTAACCTATGTGATAAAGTACTTGGATGCTGATATTGAATTATTCTATCGATAATAAACTGCAATAGCACCTAGTTGTTACACCTTCCTTCTGATAGACTGTATTTAGCACGTAAAGTTCATTAAGAAACTTGCATAACTTATGATCAGATAAAAGGATAAACAATTAAATGCTTACCTCCCCAGCTATTAAAAGTCCAATTAATTCCTGCAACCTTTGGCTCTGGTCTTGAGGGACTTGATTCTCTTTTACTTACAACAAACTATGAGGAAAAATGAAGCAAATAGTTTCTTTAATTCATCTAGCAGGAAACAGAAAGAGCATGTCTAACACAACTATAATATATACAGTTGAGGATGGTCCTATATAAGAACATTAAAGAACAGGTGAAGCTCACAGTTGGTCCAGTATCACGAAACCAAGCATCATTCATACTCATCTCAACAACTCTGATATTTTTTGGAATCTGACTCCGTGCATTTGCCCACTGAACATGTGATGATTATTAAAATGTTAAAATCCATCAAGAGTAATACTAGAAACTACATCTGACTCAGTTCCTCCCTCTTAGATTTCTACCAACCTGAGCAGCACTTGCACAGACAGTTATGGGCTCAAACTTTGATATTGCAGTTGCTACCTTCGCAAAGA